CAACCTGGGCGAAACGTTGGCTGTGGTTATTTAAATAAAATAATTTTAACCCCAGGGCCCTAGCGAAGTATTCTATTGGGGGGGGGGCAACCGATTAACCCACTGTTGTAATTTAATTTTCCAACTAACGTTTTACACACAAATGTTCAAAATTATGCATTTATAAATAAAATATAATTACAAAAAATTAATATTAAATCGATTTAATTTCATTCCACTACATATTACCTCAAGTTTATCAAGGCAAAGATCTTTTTCGCTTTTTATCGTCATTAGGGCATCCTGCCTCTCCTCTTTAATAGTGGACCTGGTCGAATTTTTAACTAATTTAAGTAAGCTAATTTTTCTTTTGTTCAAAGCCACCGAAAATTTCGCTGTAAATATTAGCTGACAAAGACGATAAGTTTCTTCAATAGCTACTTTATATTTAACACCTACCTTCATGATGTTTTACGTAAAAGTTTCACTTGTCTTTTTGTCTAAAGGGTTTGTGAGAATGATTAAGATTGGATTAAAACGTTCTAAAACCATTTTGAGTTCATGTTGTAAAAAGTTTGTAATTTTATCTTTAACGCTTAGCTTCGTTGGATTCACAGTTATCAATATTTGTCGAAATTATTCGTGTTTTCGGTGATGTATTTGAAAATTCTGTTCTGGATTGATTTTAACTTTTCTAACAAAAATTTTGACACTTCATTTTCCATTGGTTTATTGAAATTAGGGATTCTCTGGTTCTAATAATGTTTATTACATCTACAATGCTCAAGTCTTCCTTTCCTTTTTATCACGTTTTTACAAGGCGCTTATACTAGCCGTCTTTTGGGATATTTGACTCGAAATATTGACCAAGCAGCATGCCTTAGAGGTTTAGATCATTGCTTAGCATTCGGGAGCACGCCGGCTCCATTCCGGGTTCGTCTGCCTTGGTCCAAGTTTTTCTGTGGTTTCTTTGGATCACTTAGGCGAATGCTGGGGCAGTAATATTTCACAGATAATCTTTCATTCACTTCTGTCTTCATTTCGTCCGTCTCATCTTTCTCACCCAAACTACCACCCAGCTATTCCCACGATTCCTGGAAGGAGGCGAAAGGGGGTCTTCCGCCCTACCTTCCGTCGTAGTCCGGAGGGACTGCCCGCCTCTGGTGGGAATGAAACACCCAAAAGTATTTGTTTTTTTTTTCGAAATAGTAACCAGAAGTCCGATTTCTTATTGATACTGTAATAAGGGTAACCTTTGCTACCACCTTCAGTGAACATCGAACTAAAGACTGATATTTTTATGACCTTTTTATAATCTTATTACAGCCCATATACACGAATACTCGAGCAGTTTTACCTACAGGCGTTTTTATACGAAATTATGAAAGAAGTCTATCTCCAACATATTTCCTAATTAATAGCACAAATTGAAAAAGCCAACTGAAGAAAATATTGGGGACAGGGAGCATCACCCGGCATCCCCCCTTTGGCCAGGGCCTTGAATACATATATCAGAAGGGAATTGAGTGTTTTACTGATGTAATTACTTTTCAGTTTGTTTAGTGCTGACTGTCGATGATATAAAGAGATTCTCAAACGTTTTACAGTAAGTATAATGTTTTCTAAAAACAGCAGTGCTCTGAATTGATCAAGCAAAAGAAGAAGTAAACATCTGATAGGAATATCAATATTCCTGTCAAAACAAATTGACATTAGTTACCACCCACCGATCAAGAATTGATTTCTAAATGGATTTATAGCGTCCCTAATGAATCGGACGGACGGAGTGCAAGTAACAGCACAAAGACTTTTAGAGTTGCTTCGTTATTGCAACTGTGTATTAATTAATTGAAGTGTATATCACATTAATTTATACTTAACATTATTTAATGACATTAGTTATACGTTACATGTATTAAAAGTGAGAACCATTTTAATAATGTTGCCGTGGAATAACATTTACGCGCCGTACCAACACCATAAATAAAACACCTGCTCGAAAGACGAACAATTCGAAATATGAATAATGAATTGAACGGAGCTTCATGTAATATTAATCGATCGCAATATGATGATAGACAGTAATCGTTCGTATCGACGACATCGATTGCATTACAACGTACGAAAAACACATATAAATGTGAAAACAAAAATGCCACCGGTAATTTGACGTTAAATCCACAGGATGTAATATGTTGCGATGGTCAGCGGACATGACAATTAAAATCGCCCATAAGGAATTCTAGTTTCTGTATAATTATCGTTTCTTTCCAATTTAATGGAAGTCAAAAAAAAATAAATAAAATTAAGGATATATTTAAATGATAGGTACTTATACTGGGTTAGTCACAATCTATTATGTCTGATAAGGATAAGTCCACAGGACCCAAAATGGTGGATGATAATACATATTTATTTAAATTTAATTTAAATACTCTTTTGTTTACTTTCGGGAACCTTGTGGAAACATCCGGATAGTTTACTTTTTCTTTGAACTGTTTAACTGCTTTCCCGGAACGTAGTTACGACACACACATTTACAAATACGGCGCACT